GTTACCGAGAAATTGAGTATTGACTCAAAACTTGGCAAAAAAGAAAAAGAAAAAAGAGTATCGACTCAATTTATGCATAATATTTTGAGTGCAGAGATTTATGATAATAAATAATAAGGCTCGTTCGAGTTTATGCTTAATAAACAAGACCTTAAATTGTGTATATTGTAATTAAATTGGGTATGATGAGTCATATGACCTTGAAAGATACGCAGATGAAGGAACTGATTTGCAATGAATAATCAGGCACTAGCTAGTAGCAACGTCCTTATTCATATTCTAGTATTACATTATGAATGTCCCATTCACTAGCGGCTAGACTTTTTTTTTTTTTTTTAATTTATAAAAAAGCGTATAGCAGCTTGGCTATATCCTTTTCTACATTAGAGTATATTATATTTTTTTTTACGAGTATAGCCGAACGGCTTTACTCTTTTTCCTTTTCTTTTTTATGAATATAGCTGCTCGGCTGTATTCTTTTTTATTTTTTATTTTTATTTTTCTATACGCACGGCTATACTCTTTAAATATACAATTTTTTTTTTTCAGATCTTGGGGCTAAAATACCACTTTAGCTCATTCTGCTAGAGTTATTTCTTCAATTATTTTGGGCAAACCCATAAATACAATAACAAAAGGGATCCACCAACTTTTTGTGGATCAAAGAATGTTGAATTTCAGAGTATAAAATTTCTTGAATGCGTTTTGAATCTAAATTTCGATGTCCTAAAAAAAGTCTTCATGGTATTTACTCTTTTTAACCCCTTTCTTCTAGGGTTAGAGTATGAGAAGGAAAGGGACTCGACTCACAACTACTACTCAATCCTCGGTTATACTTTGTATACTTTGTAAATATATTTAAATATTTACTGATATACACCATAAGGTCCAATGTATTGATACTTTTTTAAAACTATCTATAACTATACACCTTAAGGTCCAATATGTATCTACTGATAATATATCTTGCTTTGGTTACTGCAGTTCAATAATTTGCTTAGATAACAATCTGAAATTAAAGTCAATTTCATCCCCCTGGAAAGCATGGTAAAACAAATGTTAGCAAGCAAAGCATGAAAAAGCCACAGAGTACCTGGAGAGTCTTAGGAACTGATGGTAACTCCATGTGAGTAACCAAGTGATCAAAGAAAGATACTCTTATGAGAGCATATAATTCCAATGTTGAGGTGTTCCCAAGGACCAACCACCATGCTTCGTTTTCACCTGTAAAAGAGAATCTGAAGCTCAGTTTGGTTCTTATTACTAGTTTAGAACAAGAAGAAGTTTTAACCTTAGGGAAACGCGGGGTAAACGCTCTTAATTTGTTTTGCCTGAAATTGGTGTTCACCGGTGTGATGTCTAAAGAGCGAGACTTTCCGCTGTCCTTCTGCTGAAGTTTTAATTTCACTTTGATACATGGAAAAGGCTGCATATCCTAGAAGAACAAAATATTCTAGATGCAATGCCTACTGAAATCAGTGAACATGCCTGAAAGCAAATAACTGACTTGTATTTCAATAACCTACCCAGCCCAGTCAAAAAGTTGTCCAGTCATGTTAAATCTTGACCTGGGGGTTAGTCAGCCATGTGTCAACTATCTTAGAAGTCTGTACCTGATACAATTTTGAAGCAGGAAAATGTCCAATCATGGTCTGCAAAGTTGCCTTGGGGAGATACAATAGTTGCTGTACGCTGAATATTCCTCCTTTGCTTAGCGAGTCAGCAAGTTCAACATTCATGCATGGCATCATATCCATAAGGAAGAATCCCCATCAAACCATAAAACCTGAAAAGAACCCGAAAGAAATGAGAAGAGGCTAGGAGGTGAAAACTCTACTTTCTTAAGGAACAAATCATCCGAGTCAAAGAGTAATTGTTAAAAATAAATAATTAGATAAATCAAAGCTTCACCTTTTTCAGAAACAGTTACTGTACCATTTAAGGGCAAGCAGCACATTGTCCTAGCAGACAAAAATATAAATGGCTAAATTCCAAAGTGGCCCTTCTAACAACACTTTAATGAGTAGGTCATAATTTATCATGCTTTAGGGGTCTCTGAAGGTCTGGTTAACTCACATCCAACCCTTCCTCAGGCCAGATAAATCTACATGAGAATTGAGCATGGTATTACCTGGACAAGAAAAAGCTGAGAACTTCAGGTTCAGTATTGTCCAAGCCAGCCATAGTAAGCTGGATTAGACATCTGTAGAAAACTATGCTCATGTAAGATCTTGTACAGGCTTAATAAATCAAATACTAAGGACAGTAATCAAAACCAAAGGCTTTTAACTTGTGTCTTCACCACCATATTTAAGTACAAGAGGATCATCAGTTGCAACTGTTGATTATAGAGGGAGAAAACCATCAGTTGCAAATATTTATTTCTTTCAATTTTTTATTCGATATAGTCATGTGTGACCAAAACCATCAGTTGCAATATATCTGCGATTGATATTGGAAATTAACATATCTCTTACCTTAATAATGACCAGATGATGACCCGGAAGGTTTACACCCCATGACCTGGAGACAAAGCTTCCCCATCTTATACTATTGCTCTGTCTCTCTTCTCTTCTATTGCTTTCTCCGTGAAATTACAACATGGCAACCCGTTCGTATACAATTCTCTTTCTGTATTTTTATCTGTAAATTTGAATGCTTTTGTTTTTCTTCTTTGAGAAAATTTGGTTTTGTTTTGTTGATTGTACAGCGGTGGCAAGATCCTTTCTTCAGGTGGCAGCGACACAGGAGGTTGCTTCCCCTCTCAGAGTTGTTCAGATCGAAGGATTGGTTACTCTCCATGATTCTCGTCTTTTCTCTGTTTTGCTGCTTGTAAATTTTTGGAGAACTATGGATGCCTAAGTTGATTATAACTATGGACACGATCCTCCCAGGCCGCCTAGGAGCCGCCTAGACCCTTCCAGGCCGCCTGGGCGCCGCCTAACTCCCTGGCGTTGGTGTCCTCCCGCCTAGTGCCTAGGCCGATTTTTCGAACACTGCTGGAAACCTGGAACGGGCTTGCTCTGTGCCCTAGACTTTCGTAGTGACGAGTTCAACTCCTCTATCCGTGGCTACCATGGTGTCCAATTTACGTATGTTTCTAATTTTGCAATTTTTTTGTTTGTCTATCAGAGTTAAACCCTGGATATATTAAAGAGTATAGCCGGCCGGCTATACCTTTAAAATATTCAAATAGTCATGCTATTTTAGTGTTTAGGGCAAAAATACCACTTTTGCTAATTAGGATAGAGTAATTTCTTCAATTATTTTATTTATACCAGTGATATTGGGAAATGAGAATTTAAATTCTTTCCGATACCTCTCATTCTAATGATTTCCAGCTATTAGCCCATTAGGCAAGAATAAAAAATGAATTTTATTTTTAAGAAACTAGCCTCTTCACACGAGCTTCCGCACCTGCCAGAGGCTTTTCTTAAAAATATAAAAAAAAATTATTTTATAAGTAAAAAAGATAATGAGTAGTTGTGTTTCATAAAAATAAAACATCTGATCTTGTTTTTAATTTTTTTAATACGAAAAAATGTGAATTTACCAAATTATCTTCATTTAATTAATAATTTCAATTCTTAATGTTTGAATTAACCAATGGCATTTTCTGGCATTTTGAATGTTTTCATTCTCTGCTTTTGCTTTATATATATAGATAATACAAGTTAAACCCATAAATACAACAACAAAAAATAGGGACCCACCAACATTTTGGTGATAAAAGAATTTTGAATTTCATAGTATAAAATTGCTTGTATACAAATTTACTTTCTAAAATGTATCCATCGTAATTATGAACTAATCCCAATGACAACCTTTTTCTCATTGCACTTGACAACCCTGCTCTTCTGCTATAAGAGCACTTCCACCAGTTAGCCCCTTGCCATGGCAAGGGGAGCCCTAGGGCAGCTACTATTCACGTGAATAGTGGCTGCCCTACCCTCCCTTAGCAAAGTGTGTTTCCAGCAGTTTAGACTTGCCATGGCAAATACTACTCATTTTTTTTGTTTTTTTCACAACTTTGTTTACTTAAACAATTAATTTTAATAATATTTTCGGATAAGATTTTTGGGTTCCTACGTATAAAAAATCATTTTCTCAAGATTTTTAGCGGAGGTGCAATATTGACTAAGTATGAAAAATGGTTTTTCGAAATAATCATTTTCTCAAGAAAATTTTTGGCGGCTTTTATTCCTTACACATCAAATAAGAAAACTTGATTTTATGGGATTTTAATATGAAGTATATATTGACTTAATGAGCCATCATTTTTAGCCTAAATCGTATTTTGCACTAAAACCGATTTTTCATATTTTGATTTGGTGGGAATTTGATTTTCTAGTATTTTTATTTGAATCCAAATGGGGGGTACTTCCGTATTTACATTGTAAACTTAAGTAAATCGAGTAATATAAAAAAAAAAATTAAAAGGACAAAGACATTTACTTAAATGTTGAAAATGGAAATAAGGTATATAAATAAATAAATAAAGAAGAAGTAATTTTTTGGTATTTTTTTCAATTTTTTATTACAAAAATATTGGCTGCTGGTGTTAAAAGTGAAGAGTAAAAAATTTCAGTATTTTTTTCGATTTTTTCATTTTTTTATTGGAGAAAGGGAGCACTGTAGCGGCACTGTAGCACGCTGACGTCAGATTGCCCGGGCTGGCGCTCGGGCCAGCCTCCCCTTC